GCGGGGGAGGGTGTGCAGGTGAGTAGGGGTGCGGGGGAGGGTGTGCAGGTGAGTAGGGGTGCGGGGGAGGGGTGCAGATAAGTAGGGATGGGAGGGGTCACTTGCTGAGCAGTGGTCAATGTCATGATGGTTGGACCGTCAAGGCTTATGGAAGAGCAGGAGGAACCCAGGGCCCGGGTATACAGCAGGTGTTTCTGTTCACCCTGAGTTTGAGATCCTCTGAGGCATCTGGGAAGAGAGGGTGGCTAGAGTGCCCAGGCGTGGGGATGGAATGCAAATACCACCATAAAGATGGGGGACAGAATGAAGAGTGGAGACTGGAGCCCAGGTCCCCAGGCGGTGGTTGGGGAGGTTCTGTCTGCCAGGGGGTGGGGGTGGGGGTAGTGTGCTTCCCATCGAGGCAGGCGTGAGCTCTGGAGAGCAGCATCGTGAACGGGAAGCCTCAGTGACGCCCCAGGCCCCAGCAGAGCTAGAGAGGGGAGGGCACGGGTCAGACACAGGTGGGTCTCAGCTTCTCAGGTTGAGTGTGAGCGTGTCAACCTGCAGGACATAGAAGAGGAGAGGAATGTGTCTCCCTGGACCAAGAAGGGTGTCAACAGGAAGGAGTGGGGCTTGAGACCGGGCATGTATGGATTTGGCATTACCCAAGGCTGGAGAGATACCAGTCTGCTCTCAGAGTACGAAGGTTCTAGTTTTGAGGGACAGCATGAGCAGGGACACAGGAAGGAGGGCCTGCTGCAATGGAGGCGTGGCAGTGTCGCACGGCTCCTCTGTGGGCTCTGGGCTGGGGCAGGTTCTGGGTGGCCCTGGGAATGGGGCTGGCTCTGTGAGCACAGCAGCAGAGTCATTTTCTCCAAGCCACAGGCCAAGAAGCTAGTGTGAAGAGCCTTCTAGTCATGCGCCCATGGGACACTGAGGCAGGTGACTGACAGGCTGTGGGTCAGGTGACTGATACGCTGGGTAGGTCAGGTGACTGACAGGCTGTGGGGGACAGATGACTGACAGGCTGTGGGGGTCAGGTAACTGACAGGGCCCCCCAAAATGGTCCCCTGGGTGAGGGAGCTAGGGGCTGACCTTGCCAGGACCTCAGCAGGAGCAGGGCTGCGTGTCCCCAGCCTGCCTCCGCCCTCTTCTGACGGCCCTCATGCTGTTGGCAGTGATCTGTCAGGTGGAGGCTGGTCGTGACCCCATGTCACCGCTGGAGCTTAGCTCCTGTGGGGGAGGCAAAGTCTCCCCAAGTCAGCCCGTCCACCTGCCTGACACTGAGTGGAGCGCACATTCTAGCTGCTGGCTGTGACAAGTCACACCGGCCTGGCTGTCGGCAGAGCCTCTCATGGGGACCAGTGCCTTGGGACCGCTGGGCCGGGGGGGGGGGGGGAGGCCGCGTGCTTGCTGAGTACGGCGGAGTTAGCCTCTGCGCCAGAGTGGGAGGGCCACGTCCACACGGCCTGCTCCCGTGCCGCCGCTCCCTGTGCCGGCCCTCTTGGGAGAGGACTCAGAGCCCACTTTCTTGCCTGGTGGCTGCAGGTTGAGCCAGACACTGGTGAAGGATGTGGCCATCTTGGCCAGGGAGATCCATGATGTGGCTGGGGACGGGGACTCCCTGGGGCCCACCCGCAGCCCTTCCCTCGGGAACATGCCCAGCACCCCTGCCTCGACCATCTCCGCGCGGGAGGAGGTGAGTGCGGGCCCGTGGGAGCGCTGTCGTGGGGAGGGCGGCTGTGGGCTGGTGGAGGGCGGAGGGTGAGCGGAGGGAGGCAGACGCCGTGCCGCCACCCTGCTGCACGGGCTGTGTGCCATGGGCAAGTGCGCGTGCGCGGTCTGGGCTGGCCCGCCCTGTGCCGGGAGCCTGCTCGAGTGGTGCTCGGGGTGTGAGGAGCTCTCCAGCCCCTCGCCACCTCGCCACGCCAGCCTCTGCCCCCGTCCTGCCACCCACAGCTTGTGCAGCGCATTCCCGAGGCCAGCCTCAACTTCCAGAAGGTGCCACCTGGCTCGCTGAACTCTCGGGACTTCAACCAGAACATGAGTGACAGCTGTGAGGAGACGCTGACCAAGACGAGGCCTCGGAACCGCGAGGAGGCACGGCGCTTCTCCCTGCGCGGCCCCGCGGGGGGGGGGGGCTGCGGCCCTGCTGCCATGCTGACACCCCGCTTTTGCAGGTGATCTTCGATAACCTGATGCTGAACCCGGTGTCCCAGCTCTCACAGGCCATCCGCCAGAACACAGAGCATCTTGCCGAGAAGATGAAGTGAGTTGGCCTCAGAGGCAGATGGGAACGCGAGTGTGGCGCCAGGCCTGCGCCGGCGCTGGGGGTGATGTGCACGTGTGGCCGCGTGGGGGCTGGGCCTGTGTCAGGGCTGGCGTCCATACGGGGCATGCAACTGGGTGCACATGCATGTGTGCGCCTGCAGCCAGGCTCTGTGTGTGTTGTGTGTGTGTGCGTGTGTGCATGCACACAACTTGCAGGAATCTGACCTGAGCTTGGGGCACCTACAGTCTCCCTCCAGCATCAGTCTGGCTCTCCTGTCCTCAGCCTGGGCTTCCGACACAGCCGCCCCTGCTCCCGCTCAGGGCTCAGCTTGCAGGAGAGAGCATGAGCTTCACCACAGTAGAGGAGCAGTTTTGAAGAGCATCACCTCAGTTCCCTTACGGCCATCTTTGCCCCTTTTGTTCCTAGGATTCTCTTCCAGAACACGGGTGGAGCGTGGGAGGACCTGGAGGCCAGGATCAACGCCGAGAATGAGGTTCCCATCCTGAAGACGTCCAACAAGGTGAGGGCTGGCTTGGGCAGGACCCACAGGGCCTCCGAGCCTGGGCCTGGCCTCCCCTGCCAACTGGCTGTGCCAGCTCGTCCAAGCTGACCCCACTCAGGATCCCAGGAGGCCCTGCTCTACCCGCACTTCCTCCTTCCCTCCACAGGAGATCAGCTCCATCTTGAAGGAACTGAGGCGTGTGCAGAGACAGCTGGAAGGTGGGTGTGGTATCTGTGGTGGGGCACTGTGCATGCTGGTAGGCCAGTTGGCCCCCCGGCCTTGGCCCCCCCCAGTTCCCAACCCCCCGGCCCCTCTGCCCCCCGGTCCCTTGGCCCCCGGAACTGCCAATCCCCTGGCCCCTCAGACCCCCACTCCCTG